ACGCAATTTCTGTAAAGACTAATAAATATTACCATAGATTTAATCTTGATACATAATATTTTTGAAGAGAATCTTCTTTAGGCACTTGAGCAACGCAATAATAAAAAAAATTAGCGTCACGAAGATGTGCAACGTTTTTGTCGAAGAAAAGGAAGAGAGCGATTGAGAGAGTGAGAAGGGCGAATTACCTTATAGAAATTTTATTTTTAAAATTAAAATTTCGTAAATAATTTATGAAATATTAGTATTTTATATTTTATGCAAAATAATTTATTGAAATCTCAAATGACGAATTGTAAATTAAAATGCCACGTGTTTTTATTATCGAAGAAAAAATAAAAAATAAATTATAATTTGTATTAATTTTCGAAACTTTTAATATTTTAATGACAATTAAATTCCTAACATATCTTCCCTTTTCCCTCCCGTCTCCAGTCTCGGAAATCTAATGTTTTAGATTTGTATAAATATGAACAAGACTTATAAATTAGTTTACCAAAGAAGTTTCACTTCTGACATGTGTACTTTGTACGCACGCACATCTTATTACAGATAAGTTACATTATAATAAGAATATTCTTGTATATTTTTAGTATGTTATATTCTGAGTGATAGTTTAATCCGTGTTGCCAAATCAGTCCACTGATCCTTAACCTTAAAATGCAATTAACGTGTTGATGAAATTTTAAAAGCTTAACTTGTTACATAAGTGGCTGTATATTTTGCTGACAGCTTATTAACTAAGTGTAACGTAATGGACACTGCAGACTATGGATTTGTATAAGGAATTTTGTTTTGCGCGCAGATCCGTTCGTGTCAAAATATATTCCATATAAAGAGATCTGTCGTACGATCGATATGATAAGAGAAGTTACATACTTTAAAAATAGTACATAAGTAATTATGCCTATATTAATTAAATACATAAATTCGACTCAAGAGGTATTCAGTATATAGATAACGTACAACATTTCTTTTTATCTTTTTTCTCTTATTTATAGAAAATAAACCAGTCTACCGGCACTGTTTTAACTATGTCTCTTTTTATTTAAGCTAAATATAATTTGATAGAATGAGACGAGAGTACTTTAGATAAAAGAATTCAATAAGGCTGAATATTACTTTATGTAAGGGGATTCGTTTATAAAGTTATGTTTACTTTGTAATTTAAATACTTTGATCTGGGCGGTGTACAAATATTTGCGTATCTAAATTATGAGTGAAACAGACATACCAATCGCATTTCCATCCCCTATTAAAGGGGTACTTCACAAAGCAAAATCAGCTAGTAAAACACCATCTTTACTATTAACTTAATAAAAACTTAATATTCAAAAAAGTCTAACATCAAGTATACATCTACCGCAAGTAAAGTAAGTTTGCTTGTCCATTACCGTTTGCGCTTACGCACCGTGACCGAAGGGTTGCGCCCTTACTATGGGATATAAGAAAAACAACCTTATTCCATGCTTATATAAACTATTTACGTCAAAATTACTTACACCTTTTTTACAATAAAGATCCAATCGAGATAAGGTTTATGACGGTGAAAAATGAACACTATGCTCATGTAATAAGGTTCCATTTTAGTTAATCCTCGGACATCTTAAAGTTCTGCTTGGCAGATCATAGTATCATCTGAGGGTTAGCTGACCGCAGTTTATTGTTTAAATTTTTATTGTCTCCTGTTATATAATATGTGAGGAAGTTACATGTCGTTGGTTTTTGAGAAGTTTTACTATTAAGTTACCAAATGTTGTCTAATAATGAAATTTAAGCACCGGAAGTCAATCGGTAAGTTTTATTTCGTTACTTAATCATTTACTTAGAGCTTACTAAGTATGTTTTATAAGCTTAGATCTAAAAATCTTATATAATGTGCAAAATAGTATTTGTTATGATGTTATTTGAATATAAAATGATGGTAACCATGGCAACATATACGGTAGTTTAAACCTCGTTTGAAAGTCCTTGCTAATGTAAAAGCAATAGTAGAAATATTTTTAACAAACCATAAGACAGAAAGCAGCAGTAGTATCTTAGAAATGTTTAAAATGTATATATTACTAACTTACATGAGAAAAATAATTACCTCAACCATACATTTCTACATCAAAACACAGTGTAATAAAATTACAATATCGCTTATAATATATCTACAGAGTTATAAAAAACAAAATCTTTTTTAGAAATAAGTTTATGTAAATGAAATAAGGTAACTCTTCTTTTTAAAATTTTAATAATTATAAATAATGAAATTAAAAACGATATCGAGATAAGGTCCAATCTTGCAAGGTATTTTCTCATAATTGATGATTTTGTATACGAATCCTGGACATAGTTATATCACGTAACTACGAGCTTATCCAAAGTCTTATACCAAAGCTTTTGCTGATAATACTGGTGTATGTAAGTATTGATAGAATGATGGATTGACCGCTTGTGCATAGTCTAAGGTCGAATTCGTGAATGAAAGGAAAAAGTTAATGCACATCAAACATAGTTAAACTATTAATGGCTTTTAATTTTATTTTGTTTGATTGATGGAGCGTGCAAAATACTTCACCTTTTGTTGATCGTAACTTGTTCTAATAGGTTTCTGTCATTACCTTTTTAATTGTATTAAAAACTAATGGATGCTTGACCCATAAATCTGGGTTTATACTACAAATGAGTTAATAATAGTTATATAGATAATACATGAAGTTTGACACTTTACAAAATACTCGAGCGAAATGCATCGTCGTGGGCGTCAAGCATGGTGGGCCGCCATTTTTTGGCAAAGTGCATGTTTTTGTCATTGTAACTCATTAGGCATCTTAAAGAACGTCAGGAACTGAAAAGAACAAGCCAAGAAATGTAGAACGATTTATATTTTCCGAGCATGATTTAATTGTTATTTTTACATATAAGAACTGACGGCATCCATTCGGAGCTTATAGTCTGTGCTCCTTCAACCTATCGTCCTAACTTTTGATAATTACTCTTTAATTTGTCTTAGGCCCATTCGTTCATTCCACCGTTAGATTATACGTGAAACCCGTAAAATTAATAATGAAGGTATAAATTCTCAGCACCTGCTATTCAATAATTAGAAATTACGTTTCGTTTGAAAACGGTTTGAATGACAGTAGATTCGAGGGATCTTTCACCTGTCTACTGATAAAATGTTATTAGGTCAGTGTTGCGTAGTAGAAATACTTTCCCCCTATAATAATGTGTGTGTCAGGTAACAGACCTTTCCTTCATAGATTACTTTTTCGCATTAATTTCGTACACAGAGAAGCAAATTTAAGCTTAATTTAATTTTTATATTCTGGCATTGAGAGTGTCCATGGGCGGCGGTATCACTAATAACATCAGGTGAGCCTCCTGCCCGTTTGCCCCCTGTTCTATAAAAAAAAAGCAATAAATTAAACGTACATGATGTGAAATCGGAAATAAAGGAGGTCGTGAATTTGATTCCAAACAAATAAAGTCCTCATTTTTCTCCTGTTACATTGTATTTACGCTGCCAAATATATTTACTTCAGCTATAGCTTTAGTTTAGATTCTTTGTTAGAACTTAAAACTAGCTTTAAGTTTGATTCACGACCGTGGAGTTAGTTTATATTAGTACATGTTCAAATTACATTATATTAAGTATTGATGAAATAAAAACCGGTTGAGTGGGATTCCGCGACATTTACGACTTTCTTTACCCATCGCACCCAAGTACTTCACACTTGTATGTGTTTTATTGCGTCTTAAGTAATTTTGGACATTAATGTATATTACTTGATCGAGCTTACTATATGAAATGGATCGATATAGGTACCCATTACTGTAACTGTACTGTGGTTTGATTTTTTTAACATAGTCCTTGTCGAAAATGGACGAATTTTGTTTTAAATCAAACTAATTATTTAAAAAAAACATTTTTTTACCGACTAGACAAACCGAAATAGGAGATTATAAATTTGAAATATTATTTTTTAAAGTTGTTACCTTATTATTAAAAACTATTCGACTGTCGCCATCTTTTCCTAGCATTAATTAAAACGCAAAAAGCAATTATCGCTATGCGTTACAATAGTATATGTTTTATAATACATAAGGTAGTTGTTCTAGTGTTTCATAGATTTTAAGAGTATATGAAAAGTATTATGACTAAGAATATAATTTTTAATAAAAACACTTCTCTAAAGTTAATGTTAATATAAATAGTTTTTTTATATAACAATCGAGCAATCGAGCCTACAGGTTGCCCAAAAAGGGCAGTCATTGCAGCCTATAGACACCCATTTTTAGTAGGTGCGTTGCCGGCCTTAAATCTATTTAATCTTAAGGGTCGTTATAAAGAGACTTTAAGACACCTTTTATTTTTGAAAACACCTGGATTAATTAATAAGTGAGATTTATAGCCTGAGAATAACAACACGAATTTGACGTCATAAACTCATAAACCCGAGAGCCTTGACCGAGCCTCTCAGGATAGTTTCCGGCCGACACGCGCCGATAACAATATATGCGTGAAATATTTAAATTCACACTCGCCCTCTTTTGTTTTCGAGTGGTACAAGTTACAGGACCTCTAATAATCTCAACACATTTTTTATTAACGTATATAGTATTTATAAGACTCTCCTAGTACATATTTTATATCATTTAAAGTTTTTGTTATGTATGTCTTTTAAAATGGGTAATTCAGCTTGAGGTGCATATAGATACAACTATTTTTATACAGGAATTATGTTGCAGCAAACATGACTTACTTGTCCCCCACTAGGGAGACATAGGACAAGCCCCCCAAGTGGGGCGGAGCCTGATCGGTTCTGGGCAGCTCTCATCACTCTACGTCATTCCATCTTCCCTTGCCTCTGCAATGATGTTACCTTGGTAGGACTGTTTTGGGCGGCAACGTTTCCTTTTGCCTTGAGGTTTCCAGTCGGAACCGTGCTTGGCAATATGACTTGGATCCCTTTGGAGCGTATGGTAAACCCATTTCCACTTTTGGCATTTTATAGACCTGTAACTTGCCACCTCATTGTGAAGCTCCCATAGCTGATGAGTAGAGATTCTCTTGGGTCAGAATATTTCATGGATTTGACGAAGGCAGCGGTCCACGAAGGCCTGGAATTTCCTCGTTTTCCAACCATACAACAACACGGTCTTTGTGTTGGATCAGTAGATTTTGAGCAGCAAACATACATGGCGCATTTAGGAGCGTAGAAGCCACAAATCCAACGGGCCGCGTAATATCCGTGTCCGTACCAATAGTAGATGAACGATGACCGTTTTCCGAAGCTGTTACAGTTTAAAATATTTTAGTACGTAGTATTAATACCGCAATCGCCTGCAACTTGTACCCCATATCCAAGTCATTAGCTGCATTTCTTCGCTGAACTAGTTTTTATTAGACTCAATGTTGCGTTAAAAATTGTATCATAATATAAAAGCAATATATTATTGGAGAATTAGATACATTTAAAGACGTTTCCGGTAGTAACCGTTAGCCTCATCGGTTGGAACATCAAAAGCTGGTTGTAATTAATGATGACGTCTTAAAATTCGTCTGAGTTTCACGAATTTTAGTAATTACTTGATATTAAATTATAATTTTGTCCGGTTTTATATTAAGTTTTAACTTTTAATATTTCGTTAATTTAGGTATTTTTGGTTAGAATGTTAGAAAAATTTGACTACAAGCTTTAGATACAGATTCTCTTATCAAGTGTTAAACCCTTTTATCTGCATAAAACTTGTTGTGTATTTTTATTTGAAGCTTCCGATACCGGAAAGAAAACATTTTTTCTTTACCTTTTTGAGGAATTTTCATAAACGCATTTTTAATGATTTTCTCAACTGCGTTGATGAAAGATGAATGAAATATTAATTATCTATCCAAACTAATGTTTGTGTAGACAATTATTTTTTATTTTTTGGCCAGTTCGAACCCACAGCCTCCGGCAATATTGAATAAAGGAAGCTTGACTATAAAGATGGCGTTTTAAACCCATTCTGGTATATTGATTTTCTTAACCGTAGTTCACTGCAGTGCTTAAACTTTTCTATTAAACTAAGGTTTATTTTAATTAGAAGTTACGGTTACCCTAAGCAATCGCATGCGCATCTCGGAACCAGGTTTCGCAATTCATTTACATAATACGTAAAAGTAAATTGAAATTCCAATAAAATAATATAAGCCGAGTTGCATAAAATGCCTCGAGAATAGTAAAAATAGATGATTGATAACACGGTAGAGGAACTAAGGAAGACCACGTGTGATTTGTGTGGACATATCTTGGTGACGTAATGGCTTTTTATATTTTAAATGTTACCATTTTTTTTAAATGTTGGTAACATTGGTCGATTACAAACTGGGTTGTGATTGTATCTGCCTGTCTTAATAAAGATTAGCTACCGTGGTCATTTCGGTCTGGGAAAATCTACAAGAAATAAAACTGTGCCTCCAATAGTTAAAAATATAGTAGCACAGTTTCATCAACAGTTTCAGACTGTATGTACTTTGGCGTAGATACTACATAATATAGAATTAATATTAATAAATTTAACGTCAACAGCAACTCCAGGTCTTTGCAGACATCTCCGTTCTCTGTTACATAAAACAAAAGCATAATGATAGGTAATATTAAGTATTGATTGATTTGAATTACAATTTTTATTAATCTTCGCCTAAGTTACTGAAAGAATTTTGTAAAAAATAATTATGCCTCAAAGAGCAATAATCAAAGTGTAACTTCAAGATACGTGTTCGAGTTCAATTGGTTAAAAATAAAATTATTAACGTTTGTTATATATTATTACTGAACAGATTATAAAGTATATATATATATGTTAAGACACGCATTGGAAAGATATCATGTCTATTGTCTATGCAAAGTATTAAAGCCATATCCACACTATTGCGACACTGTATCTATTGCTCATCGGAGCAAGCCGGTCCGGTCGCACATCGCTTGTCCAATTATCATATCCACTTTCTCCGGGGTTATGCCATCCAGGACGGCAGGTGAACCCATGATTACGTGTACAGATTATAACTGAAGCCCTTAGCAAAAATACTCAAGGTTATTGGCCTGATCACTAAGAACTAAAGTCATTTAGATATAAATACTATATAATAAGCTAGCTTACTATAAAACCCTTTTGAGAGATGGAAGGAGGGGGAGAGAAGGTTCGTCCGTATAACTTATGTAGACCCAGCCATGTATGTGGCAAATTCCCGGTAGAATGCGATAAAGACCCAGACGGCTGGAACTACTCGAGGTTGTAGGCGGTATATCTCACCTGGTTCTTTGAGTTGCAGCTCCAGCCCTGCGATTCTGTAACTCACTTTTCGAACTCACACAGTGGTTTTCGCATCGGCGGTCGCTCTGAAATCAGTCGTGAAGCAGTCATTTTATGATTTGGCATTCTGAAAAGGTAGGAGCTTGTAGTTTATTGTTTATCAGAATTCCAAATCATAAAATGACTGCTTCACGACTGATTTCAGAGCGACCGCCGATGCGAAAACCGCTGTGTGAGTTCGAAAAGTGAGTTACAGAATCGCAGGGCTGGAGTAAGTTGAGTTCCACATATCCCTTTCGTTTTGTTGCCACCAAGGTTAAAAACAAGCTAATTTAACTATGGCTAACGGCGTGATTTGATTGCGGAGTACATAGCATCTAAATCAGAACATAAACATATTCAACAAATTTTCATGATTAAAACGCGCAAGTAATATTTTAGAAACATGGTTAGGTACAGATTTATACATAGTAATAAACCGTCAAGATTAGTATTTTATCTTACCTAAATTATGCTTTGTTTATTATCTTTAATTCATTTGTTAATTATTAGTAGTAATAATAATATTATTTGTTATTAGTATTAATATTTGGAATGGCCCAGTGGGAGAAAAAGAGAGGACGTGCGCCAGAAACTTGGGAAGATTGAATAAAGGGATAGCGGGGCAGAATTGGAAAATTGTCGCGAGAAATCCGACAAGTGGATAAATTCACTCCGTCGGAGGTCGATTATTAGTGTAAAACTTAAAAGACATGGATTTAGCGTAGTTTAGATATGATATGTACGATACAAATAATATAAGAATTGATTAATTATTATAACAGAAGGAACAACACAAAAAAAAGAACAATAAAAACTAAAACTAACCTTAAAATATAATACAATAACTAAAATATATTATTAAAAGGAGTCCCTTTAGGCAAAGTTCCGAAGGTACTGGCAGCGTTCCCCCTTTGAATAGCTAGACTAATTCAATGTCCGAGGTAGCTGCCAGCTCTTCGCTCTCCTGTGATGTCGATGTTCGTAATAAAGGCTATTTTTTTAATTATAATATTTAATCTTTGTTCCTCCGTATCATAAATAAAAAAAGTAAAAGTTAAATATTCATTCAGTATAGATATATAACAAATATAACGTTTTATAATCGATATTTATGACTTAGATATAAAAAAAGCCAAAGAAATGTTTATATAATGATTAATAAATAAAAATTGATTTACGGCATTCAAATCGTTTAATTAGCAAGGGAAATGAGATCTTCCGCATAACTCATATCTCGAGTTGTGTGCATCCAAAATTAATCGGTTAACACTTGCACCTTGGGATGTGTCAAAGATTAAGTTTCTTGTAGGTATGGTACTTTAACGGGGAGACCGAAGTATACAAATTACTTTTTTTTAATAGAACAGTGGCAAACAGGCAGGAGGCTCAACTCGTGTTAAGTGAAACCGCCGCCCATGGACACTCACATTGCCAGAAGGCTCTCGAATGCGTTGTCGGCCTTTTAAGAATTGGTACGCTCTTTTCTTGAAGGATCCTAAGTCAAACTAGCTGCCCTCTGAAGTATTTCCAAAAAAAATTTACTTAGGGCTCTTCAATATAAGAGCATACCAATTCAAGGTCGGTATCGCATTTGCGAGTTTTGGCTTATGTCAATGAGCGGCGTTTATCAGGTTCATATCAGGTTAGCCTCCTGCCAATTTATAATTAGTTGAAAAAGTATCTAATACTAAACTAACAATGAAAACTAGCAAGTGATAATAATTATTATATAGAATCACCAATCACCCGTATCACCTCGACGTCCGACGTTCCACAACTGAGCGTTTCTCAAGGCAGTTTTTGCCGCGCACCACCACTATGTGGAACCAGCTGCCCACTGAAGTATTCCCGAACCAATTCGACTTAGGGTCCTTCAAGAAAAGAGCGTACCAATTTTTAAAAGGCCGGCAACGCACTCGCGAGCCCTCTGGCATTGAGAGTGTCCATGGGCGGCGGTATCACTTAACATCAGGTGAGCCTCCTGCCCGTTTGCCCCCCGTTCTATAAAAAAAAAAAAAAAAAAAAAATAGAACCTTTTTGGTAAGCTATATAAATGTAATCGATCGCTTATAGCTTGCTTGTAAATCTCATGTATTAAAAAATACAACTTTTTGTGATTTTTTCAACAAAAAAAAAACACAAAATAATTTGAATTCTATAGATTAAACACTGAGAATCAACGTAGAAATGCCTGAACTCGTTTAAATCCGGTAATGTTTATTTTCAAAGTCAATGACAAAATATCTACGTAAATAATCTTTGCCGTAAACGCATGTTGGTTCAAACAATTGTAGTTTGAGTGCGATTCTGTTATTTGAGCTTTGGAGATCTAATTACAATTACTTATCTGAGCATTGACCCGGTCCTTGACCGTGAATGGGGTATGGGCCAATGGTTTTAAGATTTTTTGTTCTAAAAGGAAGTTTTATGAATCTCCGTTAGTATTATTGTACACTCCTCCATTATGTTTGATTAAATATTGTTGAACTTTGACTGCAATCTTAAGTTAACTCTTTAAAATAGAACTGTGTTGCCCTAGTGGATATAGCGTGCGACTCTTATCCCTGGGGTCATAGGTTCGAGCCCAGACTGTGCACCAATGGACTCTCAGTCTATGTACGCATTTAAAATTCGCTCGTACCGTGAAGGAAAACATCGTGAGAAAAGCGGCACGCCTTAGACCCAAAAATTCGACGGTGTGTCAGGCACAGAAAGTTACTATACCTATTAGAAATGATCACGGAACAAAAAGAAATCTCAGGCCCAGGCCTAAAAGGTTGTAGCACCATTGGTATTTTACCGTGAGGGACACGCAGAGAAAATATATGTATTGCAATGAAGCCCGGAGGAGCAAATTCAAGAAATGCCTTTCTTAGCTATATATATATAACTATAACTATATCAATCTAATTAGCATAATACAGCAGTCTTTTTTTGTAGTATTTCCGAATTAATTCCACTTAGGGTACCCATCAAGAAAAGAGCGTAGCAATTCTTAAAAGGCCGGCAGCGCGCTTTCGAGCCTTCTGGCAGTGTGAGTATCCATACGCGGTGGTATCACTTAACATCAGGTGAGACTCCTGCCCGTTTGCCTCCTGTAACATAAAAAAAAAGAAATTAGGCACAAAGACAAAATTCAATCCGATAACTTGATAACTATTTATTTATTTATTTACACTTCGTTACCGTATACAAAAGCATACATATATAAAAGAAGGAGGTTAGATAAGTTATAAAGCAACGGGCGGCCTTATCGCTAACAAGCGATTTCTTCCAGGCAACCCTAGTATGGAAAAATAAAAAATAAACACCTACAGAAGGTAACTATGATATAAATATCGTGATCATTTTGTTGAGTCCATTTTAATTCCCTATTACACTTCTCACGTATTTTCAGAGTCGTAATAACCCTATTTTAGTTAAATGAAATACAGTTACGATAAGATTAAAGCTTTACTTAAAGCAACACTGTCTTATACGGAGAGTAATGTTATCAGCTCTAAGTTTTTTCAGGGTTACTTCTTAATGCCTTAACAGATGAATGTTGTTACATCGATAGATGATAACATCAGTTTAGATTTTCTTTAGATATAAATTCTAGACACATACCTCGTTAGGAATCTTTAGAAACAGTTTTTAGGACTACTATTGAAGATACATGTTTTTTCAGAGCATTCTTTTTAAAATTTATAGCCAAATCTCCTATCAAAAACGTGAATGTTGCGTGTGTTTGGTAAAGCATTAAGCAGTTAAATAGGTTTGCATGAAATATTTGTAAGAAAAATATTACTGCCCAGCCCTGCGATTCTGTAACTCACTTTTCGAACTCACACAGCGGTTTTCGCATCGGCGGTCGCTCTCAAATCAGTCGTGAAGCAGTCATTTTATGATTTGCCATTCTGAAAAGGTGGGAACTTGTAGTTTATTGTTTATCAGAATGCCAAATCATAAAATGACTGCTTCACGACTGATTTGAGAGCGACCGCCGATGCAAAACCGCTGTGTGAGTTCGAAAAGTGAGTTACAGAATCGCAGGGCAGCATTTTACATGGTTTTTATGGTTTTTGAATGTAGGCCTAACCTAAACGTACCTTCCCGACGCGCTGACCTATACAAAGGATTTTCATTCACTAGAAAAAGCTTTTACTCATAGAAACCTCAGCTATGTTGTATAGTTTATTCAATACAATTTAAGGCAATACCAATCCTGTGACATACTAAACCCGCCCTACATCACTTTACACTCAAAAACCTGACGGACGGCGAAGGAAGTGAAACATGAGTGTGCTATGAGAGGATATCCGCTCCCAGGAAGCAGGTAAATAGTGCAAATTAAGTTACTTTCTATCAAATTGTATTAGGTTACTACAAATGTGGGAATATCGTATTTCTGAACGTAGGAATATACCCGAGTGATAAGGATTTGTGAAAGGAAGATTCGAATCTGATCTTTTACTCATCCGAGAATTAGGAGTAAACTTTTGTCGTCTTCTCATGTAAAAATATGTTTCAGTTTAAAAAAAACCCCATATTACGGGATATAAACGCAATAATTTATTTATTTATTAAGAATTTTAAGCTATAGAACTGTTGAAGTTTCATCCTTTACCGAAAACAATAACTGTTATTAATTAAACTGAATTATAAATTTATTATTACCAACAATGTAACGATATTCCTATTCTTTTTT